TTGGCCGACGTGGCCTTCGTACGTCTTGATGCAGCGGTGGGTGTCGAGATCCCATAGCTTGACGGTCATGTCGTCGGAAGCGGAGAAGAGGGTGCGCGAGGGGAGGTCAATCTTGACGGCGTTGACCCAGTCTGTGTGGCCTATTAGGGTGGTGCGCTTCATGTGGCTGAAGTCGTGCACCATGATGGTGTTATCTGAAGATCCGGATGCGAGGAGTTTGTCTGCCATGTGGAGGCCGATTACACCATCACTGTGGCCGTTCATGGATTTGACAAGTTGGCCTGTCCGCCAGTTCCAGATCTTGATCGTATTGTCCAAGCTTCCAGTGATCAACTTGCTGTCTTCGAACTGCAGGCATCGGATGCCTTGGGTGTGGCCTGTGAGGGTGCGGATTTCTTGACCCGTTTTGATGTCCCAGACTTTGATCGTGGCATCGTAGGAGCCGGTGATGAGGACTTGATCGTCGAATTGCAGGCACATGACGCCGTTGGTGTGGCCCTTGAATATGCGTGTCGAATAACGTCCGTACTTCCAATTGCTCCCAACCTTGTAGCGATCCTTGTAGACATCCTTCCATGGTCGCTTCTTAGGATGATCAAAGTATGATGTGACTTGGTCTTGACCTGCTTGGAGGCTGGTGCATGGTCGTTTGTTCGAAACTTCTGGGGAAGAATCGTCGTCTGGTACAGAGCGCTTGGTGCTGGCAGCGGGGTCGGGGCCCTGGGACAATCGATGAGCGAGCGTGTCGGGCGAGGTCTCGGGCTGTGGGGTGATGTTTGGCGACCACTCGTTGAGGCCGCGCCCCGATGCGCGCAATTGTATCCGTCGCTTCTCATGGCGCAAGCGACGTTGGTCGAGCAGCGGGAGTCCCCAGCCGCATTTTGTGCACTTCCTGTCAATATGCTGCTCGCACATCTTGTGCCAGACGACGTCGTCGTCGGCCAGTTGTCTCCACCGCCGATTGACCTGTGAGGCCTTGCAGAGTGAGGTGGTGTCGAGATAACAGAGGATCTTGAAGCCCAACTCGGTGGGCAGTGCGCCGAGAAAGTCGATCTTAATGAGGTTCCGGACGGAGGAGGATATGAAGGAGAGTTGAGGAAAGCAGCACTGGGCGAGAATGCCCTGCAGCATGAGGTTGCGATGGCGGGAGGGAGCCGCCGAAAAGAGCGACCAGACGTTGGCAATGCTCTGCTGGTCGGCCTGGGACTCTCTGCCGAGTTGTTCTTGCAGTTGTTCCATGGAAGGCTCGTCTGCTTGCCGTCGACAGAGTAGGTCGGGACGGTGTCGATAGCAGAACTTGGTGTTGGCAGTGCGTGGACGCTCGTCCTGGCCTGGGCTGTTGGCGCCGAGGGGGTTATATTGTTGGGGAATGTGCTGGGCGAGGTATGGCGTGATCATCTTCTCCATTTTCTTCGACTTGTTCGCCTGGGCCTCTTCGGCCTCGTCTGTGGTTGCGTGCTGGTGTCGTGTTCGCTCCGACATGCCTTCGTGGTCGTGGCCATGCATCAGGGCAGCGTGCGGGTCAGTCGAGGTGGCGGCGGTGAAGTCGTCAGGCGACGAGTCTCGGGGGCGCCATGAAAGACGTCTGGGTCGGGGAGGAGCGGTGGTGGCGTGGGTGGTTTGCGACGCCATGTTCAATTCATGGGCTGCGGCAAGATGCGAGGACTGTCGAGATTCCGGGGCGATATCGCGTGCGAAGCCCAGGTCGCTGGTCCAACAGGCGGCAGGCAGTGCGGATGTAACGGCGACTCGATGGCACGTTGCGCATAAATATGCTAGCGAGCGACAGAGTTTGGGCGCACGAAGAGGTGGAATGGCGCAATGGCAGGCTTGGATAGCATCTTCAGCACGCAATGCCGCCAATGTCTCCGCAGCCCTGTGGACCCTGGCACGCTTGCACCCCATCCATGCAGCCGCTCGGACCACCTCTAGTCGCGCATGCCATCATTCACCATCACGAGCCTCGCATCGCGAACTACCACTCGACCGGCACCGCTGCCACTATGCTCAACACCCGCTGCCGTGGCCGCCAACACGATGGCCTCTCCACCCTCACCTGCCTCTCCCACCAGCAGCGCTGCATCTAGGGCGTCGCTGGACCAGGACCACGCCCAGTCGCTCACGCTCGAGCATCTCGTCAAGCACTTTGTCGCCGCCAAACGCTCCCTCAACACCCAGACGGTCCTATGGCGCGCCACCGACATTGTCAACACCGCACGTGACCTGCTCGAAGAGAACGCTGTCGTTTCCGCCAAGAACACGTCCATCCGCAACCTCGTCGAGCAGCAGGTGGATGCCCTGGAAGCTGTCCGCCGCGGCGTAGACGTGGTCGAGTCGGAAGTCCAGGCCGAGTTCAAGCAGCTGCTCCACGACGTCGACGCCTCCTTTGCCGGTGTCAACTCCACCCTCGCCGTCCTGCGCGACACGCCCATTGAAGGCGCCCTACAGCCTCCGGGTACTCCACAGAAGCACCTCTACGACTTCATCGACAGCGCCACCGTCTCCAACCTGCAGTCCACACTGCGCGCCTGCATAGACCGCTATAACGATGCCCATGCCACGCTCGACGAGAGCTCCCATGTCTTCGACACTTGTCTGGACAACCTCTACTCCTCCATCGAGAACGTGCCCATGACACCCGTGTCCACGTCCACCCCGAGCCCTATACCCAGCCTATACCATAATCTTGAGGGCCACGCAAAAGAGGCTGCCCAGGCATTCCAGTCGCTTGTTCAGCACTATGACCTGTGCATAACAGCCTTGCGCCATACGGAAGGAGGTTCCGCTGCTGCCACCCAAGCAACGGGGGATGCGCCAGTCCACTCTGAGGATAACGGTGCCGCGCCTCCCGAGCCCATGAGCGAAGAAGAGCGCCGCGACATGCTCAACGTCTTGCAAAAGGACGCGCAAGAGGTGGAAGACGTCGTGACCGAGATCCAGGAACGGGGCTCTGAGATGACCTTCCTTCTGGGCCAGATCGAGAACCACATCCGCCACGTCCGCAGCGAGTCGTCAGCCCTGTCCAAGATACTCGAGATGATGTCGCAAATCACTGGCCAAGTCAAAGAGCACATTGTGACCTCACGCTCCTTCTATGCCTCATGGCTGGAAGACACACGGCCTAGCCTGCTCAGCGGCATCGACGAGTGGGAGAGCCAGCGCGACTTCTTCGAACGTTTCGACCTTGCCTACGCCGAGCTCCTCGTTGAGGTGTCGTCACGACGGAGGCGGCACGAAAAGGCCAAACGCAAGGCCGAGGAAGCGCAAAAGGAGCTAGATAGGATACGCCTCGAGGATGAACGTGCAAGAGAGCAGTTTACCGTGGCTCAGGGTGATTTTCTGCCCTTGGATATCTGGCCGGGTCTGAGGGATCCGCCGCGACAGTACGAGGTCAGAGTTGTACCCGCTAGTGTAGAGGGTGAGCAAGACGAGAATGACCAGGAAATATACGGTGGCCAGAGTATACCTCAACTAGGGAGGACCGTTGTTGAAAGGGCGCTCACGCGAGTTAAGCGACGAATGTAATTGATTGGTATCATATATACTGGCTATATAGCCCTCACGTCGGCTTTCGTCCGTGAGTAAAGTAGAAGCGGATATACATATGCACATCCTTCCTCCTGATATCCGCGACCACCTTGGCAATCATGACACGGCACTCGGACTCACTCCAGCCCATGACCTTGCCCAAAAGACCGAGAGTGTAAGGCTCGATGCCCATGGACATGTGTTCGCGCTGATAGCGGCCGATCTCCTTCATTTTCGCGTCTTTGGCCCAAGGGCCGATAGGGATCTACAGGCACCGCATTAGCCTCGTAAACGGCATAGTGTAGGGGAAGAGGGTAGGCGTACCTTGATGAGCTTCTCGTGAACATCGATGAACCCTGCATCCGTCATCCGCTGCTTCAGGCTATCCCCGGCCGTGATGTCCCTTCCCCACGTTTTAGCGGCAGCGTGGCACAACTCCTGCCACTAGAGGTAGAGGTACAAAGTCAGTATATGTCTCACATGCACTTCGTACAGTCAAAACCTACCTTGAGCATGTCGGTTGCCAGCTCCATGGTCCCATCGTCACACTCACACAACGCAAGCGGCTCCTGGAATTCCACCCAACCGCCGGGCTTGGTATGCGTGTATGTCTGTCGCACCAGCTTGTCCCAGTCGGAGATGCTGCCAGACATGGTTCGGCAGTGGATAAAGTCAAAGGCTTCGTCGGGGCTGTAGACCCATTCCGACTCGGCATCGTCAATGTAGAACTTGACGTTGGGCGGCACCCATGTTGGCTGGATGGGACTGAGATCAGTACCTATGACCTGTGCTCCTGGGTGCTCGTCGGCGAAGTCTATGGCCCAGATGCCGGTGCCGGTGCCGATGTCGAGCACGCGCTGGGGCGCAGGCGGGATGGGTGCATCGTAGAGCTTGCCGCCTAGGATGAGCAGGAAGATGTGGTGGAGGAGATCGAGGCGGTCTTGCTCTTGCTCATCTGCAGAGGTGGAGGTACAAAGTCAGCATTGGTCTCACATGCACTTCGTACACTCAGGACTGACCATTCGGTAAAATGTATGAACCGGACCGGTAGCCGTGGTATCGCCGCCCATTGGAGTATTCATAGTTGAGGATAGTTGATGCGATGGACGTGGATGCCGTGGACTCGCCGCCGAATGCCGAATCGCTATCGCTGTTGTTGGCCGTGTCGACGTCGAGATGCAGGACGGATTGCAGGTTGCCCTCGGCTGTTGGATCCTGCGGGGCTGACATGCTGTGTTCCAGTTCTTTTCCAAGAGCGTTTGCACTCGCGGGGTCAGGCCTCGCCTTATATCTTCCACCTCTCTACTTTCGTCGGCCATGCCGTAGGATCCAGGATGCCGGGTCAAACGCACCCCATTCCATAATCAGTCTGCAAACACCACATGCCTTAGCGACATGTAGGAGCGCATTCTGCTCTCTAAAGAGCGCTTCGCCGCCTGATCGGTCTCTTGCCTCTCTGACATCCAGCCGTCATGTCTCTTCCCGCTCTGTGTCTGCTGGCGTACTTTGTGTACCTCCTCGCACGTGTCTTTTACCGCCTATATTGCCATACACTATCCCGCTTTCCTGGCCCCAGGATCGCGGCAGCCACAAGCTGGTACGAGGGCTACTACGAGATTGTCCACAAGGGACAGTACTCGAGGCAAATCTCCAAGCTCCACGATGTCTATGGCCCTATTGTAAGAGTGACGCCTGATGAACTGCACATACGAGACCCGTACTTTTACGACCAAGTCTACGCCAAGAACGTCCACCTCGACAAGGAGGGTTGGGACAAGAGGTTTGGGTGTGCAGGCGGCCTGCTGCCGACCGTCAACGCGGAGCAGCACAAGCGACGCCGTGCTGCGTTGGCTCCCATGTAGGTGCTTCAACATGTAGTGCAGAGCACCTCGGCACGATTAACGCCTGTTGTCAGGTTCTCACGCCGCTCAATCCTCGACTTCATACACATCATCCACCGCCATGTCGACACCCTCTCCGTGCGCATGCAAGAGTTTGAGGCTGATGCAGAGCCGCTTAACTTATCCCATGCCTTCCCCGCCCTGACAGGCGACATCATCATGGACTACTTCTTCGGCTTCAACTACAACCAGCTCAAGCATCCTGAGTTCGAGTCATTCCATGATGCATTTATTCGGGTTGGCGGTGTGGGTCACATCGCCACGCAGTTTCCCATGATACTTCCCGTGGGTTATATTTAGATCATTCAAGATGTGCACCAGTCACACGTGGAACTGACATGGTTTTTGCAGATTCTCGATTGTATCCCTGACCGTATCAGCGGCTGGCTGCAGCCAGCAGTGAAGCCAGTGCTCAAGTTCAAGCAGGTATGCGGCACAGCATTGCATCTATACCGTGTTGAGTCTAACATGCGAGTCAGGATAACCGGAATCACATTGCGCGCACCCTTAAGGGCGAAGACATCAAATCCAACGATGCGAAGAAGACCATCTTCCAAGAAATTGTCGGCTCTAAGCTACCTGACTCTGACAAAACACAGAAGCGTCTCGAGGATGAAGCGCAAATCATCATCGGGGGCGGCGTAGAGACAACCGCCTTCTCCCTCTCCACAGCCGCGTTCCACATCATCAGCACCCCACGCATCTACGAGCGCCTCCACAAAGAGCTCGTAGAAGCTTTTCCCAACAGAGACGACTTAGATTTGGCCCCACTGGAGAAGATGCCGTATTTCAAAGCCATCATCATGGAAACCGCGCGCATGTCATACGGCTTGAGTGCCCGAAATCCCAGGACACACAAGACGCCTTTGCAGTACAAGGAGTGGGTTATTCCCGCATACTTGCATAGTAAGTCATTACCCTACTCAATGATCCATCTCCCCATCGCATCCAAACTAACCCCACACCCACAGTCCATGACCATCCCCGAAGTCTCCCACGACGAAACTCTGTTCCCTTCTTCCCGCACCTTCATCCCGGAGCGCTGGCTCAACGATCCCAAGACCGCCGATGGCATTCCACTGGAGCGCTTCATGGTTTCTTTTGGTCGCGGTACGCGCAATTGTCTTGGTATCAATCTGGCATATGTGGAGCTGTACCTCACGCTGGGCATGCTGTTCAGGAATTACAAGTTTGAGCTTCATGAGAGTGATGTAAGCGATGTGGAGTTGGGCCATGATTTCTTCATTCCGGTTGCGAAGCTGGATAGTAAGGGTTTGAGGGTTTTGGTTAGGAGCACGGAGGATTGAGTTTTCTTACTTGCGACCAGTGGAGTTAATCATGTGGACTCACTCTGACGGACCATTTTGATAGGTCATCTTGAGGACATCATTCCAATACAAGATATCCAAGTGATGTAGCCCCCAGGCTCATACATCCAATCACCCAACCAAAACTCACGTCAGCATGCCCCCACCATCCGTCCTAACCATCGTCCCATCAACATTATAATCCCTCAACAACCCCAAAAACGTCTCCGCCACATCCTCCGGCCTGCCCACCCTCCCCGTCGCCATCCTACCCTCCATGCCCCGCATAATCTCCTGCTTCTTCTCCTCGCCATGATGATCCCACATCTCCGTGTCCACCGCGCCGGGGCTCACGCCATTAACGCGAATAGGCTTCATATCGAGAGCCAGATTGCGCACCATGGAGTGCAGTCCACCAGCATACGCGCCAATAACGCTCCAGTTGGGAATTGGCTTTTCGGACACAGCGCCTGTGGTGATGGTGTAGGAGGATTTGTAGCTTTGGACGAGGTAGCGCGGGAGGTGTTTTGCGAGGAGGAGGGGCGCGAAGAAACGGATTTGGCCAGCTGCAAGGATGTTTTGCATCGTCTGGAGATGCTGTTAGTCATGCCGTGTACACCGATACGGAGATGTAAGAAGCGGTTCAAAAAGAAATCAACACACCATATCCCCCAACTTAATATCCGCCAACTTATCCCCCGCAGTAAAAACAACATGATCCAACTTGCTCTCCGGCATGCTCTCCACCGTCTTCTCCAACAGCGTCTTCAGCTCTTGTTCCAGCGTCTCTGGCTTGCCTAGGTCGACGGCAAGACCCCTGATGCGCGGGTTTTTGGTATCGGCGGCAGAGGGATACGCGGTTTTGAGTTTGGATACGGCGGCATCGATGCGAGATGGGTTGGAGGAGCTGATGGTTACTAGAGCGCCGTTTTCGAGACAGGCTTCTGCGACGCTGTAGCCGAGGCCGGATGTACCGCCGATCACGAGGATGCGCGAGTTGGTCAGTTTGTTGGTGTAGCGTTTTTGGTCGGTCATGGTTTGGGCGGTTTGGTGTGTGTGTATTGGTAGATGGGGAGAGTGTAGGTAGTATGCGGGTTGTTTAGCTGTTGGTCGCACGATCGGTCTTTGCTGTGATAAGTATTGAGGTAGTACAAGCCGATGAAGATAGAGAGCTGTGTGTTACACTGTTCCCCACATTAGCAGCACGGTTAGTGGTATATATACGCAGATCTCCACAGCAATCCACAACGGCACTTGCATCATTGTGCCTGACGTCTAGTCGCCGTTGTTATCTCCGTGATGAACAAATCGTCTTGCTAGCTTCTAAGCTTATAGCGTGATTTCTCCACCCGTTTTACCTCTGCTCGACGTCATTGGAGAAAGGTACAAACGTGCCCGTCAATTTCTTGCATGGAGATGAACGGAGATAAGGTCATATGTATATGCGGGTACAGCCGTCATGCATTACATCATCACAATTGAGTGTCAAAAAATGAGCATTGACTTGATTGTTCATTTCAACGTGCGCTTTATGAGGTATCGTGACCTCGATCAAGAGGGCTCAGTAAGCCGTGCTGATCGTGGGAGCTGTTATGCTGGCGCAGCTCTGCAGCGTGAGCACTAAGCGTGCGTGCAGGTTTATCAAGTCTCTCCGAGACCTGGATAAGTTCGTCGCTGCTTCTCTTACGAAGCTATCGTTCGATAGCCGATCATAGTGTCGTCCACATGGTGTTGATCTGCTTCCGCTTGACCTGGAGTGCTGATTAGTACATCATGCAACACAAGAATGTACAAAAGTATAGAGAGGGTAGTCTTACCAAAGGCGCAACGAACAAGACCCCGACAAACAGTCCAACAACGGTCAGAAGCATAGAAATCTTGTTGAAGCCCTTGCCCAGGATATCGAACGAGAAACTGGGTGCAACTCGTGTTCCGAAGATGTCCAACCCATAGGCAAAGACCAGACTAGTACTCTCGATTCCGCTCTCACTTGTGATGATATCTTCGATACCCAAGACTTCGTACTTGTGGGTAAGGTGCCACTTCGGGTCGAAGTTGATGAGGGGTGTGTACTTGACCAGACCTTCAGACGCTTCCTGCGCAGTAGGCTCACGACCGACGGGTCGGCGAGGATCAATCACCATGCGTGGAATGCCAACTATAGCGTTGAGTGCGGGTAAAGTGACGAGAAGCTCACGACTGGTGATGCCCTGTCTGGTCTGTGTGACACTCATGTGTGTAATCTCTGCTGGTACTTGGTAGCTCTGCGATAGTACATAAGGCTTCGCAGCGTCGCCGTTCGAACCCGAGGGTTTCACGGTAGAAGAGTTAGACGAAGCACCTAATGGACCCCTGTCGTCGGGAAGCGGGGATTCGTAAAGGTCAGAGACGACGAGCTGGTAGCCGCGAGAAGAAGCGCCAGATGCAGCATCGATAGTCAGCGCATACGCGAACCAGTTCTCTGAGATTGTGGCTGGAATGGGTCGTGTGGTATCGACATCGTTGTGTGACATAGTATGTAGTATTTGTCCAGATGCAGAATCAAGCAAATAGACGGACGCGGATCGCGCAGATTCCACCACTGTTGTGACTAGGACGAGGTTTGGGTTCAGGTACTTGTACAGTACCCTCCTGTCGCCTAGTACTTTACCAATAGAGGCAACAGGGTCCTTGATCGGGCGAGCGACATAGCTGGCAATCTTCTCCTCGACAGGTGGCGTAAAGCTCCATACTGGTTCGGAACCAGGCTGGCTTTCCAGGTATCCTTTCAATGTGCCGTCAACCAAGGTAAACGAAATAAGGCTTTGCCCCTCAGCAACTAGCGAAGGCTCAAGCTTGATTTGGTCGGAAGTGATGAGGCCACCAGTTGTCGAATTGATAAACATTGACCCCTGGAAGCTAGCGTCTTTTATTTCAACATAGCCGCTGTGAGCCTTGAGAGTCGGGTGTTGGAAGCTTGTGTCGGGCGCGAACTGGCCAAGGTCCACGTTCCACATAACTTTGCCTCGTGAACCAACATCGAGGGCAGCAAGGCGACCCGCTTTAGTGGCGACGACAACAAGCTTGTGGAAACCAAAAGTGTCTTGTTGGATATCGTCGACTGTTGTTTCCTTTGTCTTGCCGAGCACACTACTCAAGAGGCGCTGGGGAATGCTCTGTGCCCACGCCGGGAAGTATTGCAGATCCTGGAGGTGCCTCTGCACACGGTGGATGTAAGCGGAGACAGGGTTGCGATGGCTTTCGTCGGCAAGTGCTTGTGCTAGGGCTTCCTGTTCAGGCAGACCGGCCCAGACTGCGGAGACTGCGCCGGACAAGAATTCGGGCCGGGTCCAAGCGACTTCATCGTTCCGCAGAAGTGCCCACTGTCCGTTGGAGTACAGAACAGCCGACCTCACAGCGCTGGCGGCTCCTGACTTCACAACAACTTCAGATTGGCCATGCACAGGGAAGGCGCCCGCAAGTGCCGGAGAGCCTTTGACAGTCCAGCGACCCAAGACACCGTGCGAGACGGAAGAGAAAACTGTCACCTCGTCTTCAGTAACCCTGGTGAAGTAGACGTTGGCATCAGATGTGCCTGTGGTGAAAGTTCCCTTTGTCCTCAGCTCCGGGAGGCTGTAGGCTTTGGAAACGGTTTGCTTGTTGAGGTCGACGTGGTAAACTTCAGCAGAATGGCCGATGGCAGTCTGGTACTCGACGAGGAAGTGGGCGAGCGAATTGATGTGGTTGGGAGCATGGAGAAGGATGTTCTCGATGACTTCGTCCCCTGGCGTGTTGAAGGTCGACACAGCCTTGGTTCCGATTATGTTGACTTTCAGCACCTTGTTCGCCTTGTCGGTCCAAGCCAATAGTGGGGCAGCCGTGTTGGCTCCGGCGAAGAGGATACGGTCGCGCGAGGAGATCTCAGTGTCCGAGTTGAGGGTGTACTGGTCGAGCTTCTTTCCTGTGATGGGATTGAGAGACGTGACTCGGAGCTTGGAGCCTCCGAGCATGGGCGTGTGGAGGGCGATGTAGTAGATGGTTGTCGGCGAGGTCGAGACCTGGAAAGGCGTGTCTCCGCTGTGGACTGTCAGTGTTTGTCATATTGCCATTGGTTGGTATAGCCACCTCGCGTCCTCGTACGTCCACTTGACGCGCCCAGTCTTGCCGTCAAGCCTCTTGACACTGTTGCTGCTATCGGTAGCCAGGACAATGGCGTCTTTGGCCGCGCTGATGGTCATGCCATCTTCCTGCTCCAGTATCTCCAGATCCTCGACTGCAGCCCCGCCGAGGCTGGTGTCCCACACGAGACGGCCGTCGGACGCGCTCCACGACGTGACGCGGTCTCCGACGGCGCTGATTACCGTGTCCTGCTCGTTGCCTGAACGCAAATGTCCGCGGTGGCCGGGCTGCGAGGCCAGGTGCTGCCGCCAGACGAGGGCGCCATCCTTGGGGTTGATGGCGCCGATGGTCTGGTTCTGGGATATCGAGTACAGGAGCGATGCCTTGGAGCCCGCATAGGGCTTCTGGAAGAAGGTGGCCTCTGGGGCAGGAAGGCCTAGCAGGGCATAGTGGAAATCAATGTGGAAGGCATCGTCCTCGAAGATGGCCGCAGCCGGCGCGAGACATGCTGCGATGGCGACAGCAGCACTAAAACGCATGGTCGGGTGGAATTGGAGCTTGTCGTCGGCGTCGTCGTCGTTCGGCTCCCATGCGCCCTGTGTCGGCTTCCCTCACACGTCTGCAGTGCCAGGGCGCACGTGCCCGGCCTGCTCCAGATCACGGGACCCTTATTGGGTGCCCTGCTCCTTATAACCCCAACTGCCAGCCCAGGCTCTTCACGACTCAGTTCAGGCGGCGTCGGGGAAGCGGGAAGCTCTCCATGGGCGATTATTACGTCGACAGGATGCTTGCTCGACAGCCTTGCGAACCCTTCTTGTGCACGACTCGACCAGAGGGCCACGCTATCATAGATTGGAGCTTGTCCCGGCGCCCTGGCTTTGTTTCGCGACTGGCCGCGACGACCTCGTCTCCCTCTCTCTCGCAGCATCTCGGCGCTTTGTTTTTTGGCATAATTACGGGCTGTACGGGCTGCACCCCAGAGCCGAACACCTGGCATATCTCCTGCTAAGCCCTACCAAGTCTACTGCATGCATGTGCCTTTCTTCGCTACCTCTTTGTCGCTGCTTGCTCCCTGATTATCGCGACGCCGTTCCCTTCTCCCACCTCGACCTTCACGTGACGGAAAAATCTTCCCCAGCCCCCAACCTCGGCGCGTCAAACAGGTGCGTTACACAAACTTGCCCCGCGCATGCATGCAGTCGCTTTGCCTCTGTGGCTCGTCGCCTGCTGCATTCGAGGCTGCTTTTGTCTGATTGGACGTGGCTTGGTTTGGAAATCGATGCGCTGACGAGTGTGGTTGGCCCAGAGCGCAGTACGACGCGCACCGCCGATTCAGCCCTCTGGTACAGACCGACGCAGTGTCCAGGCAGCACGACGAGTCGACTTCCTTAGCCTTTACTAGACGGCGGCGGCTTTGAGCCGCTCATCCCTCTGTGGCACCCACCGCCACAGGAGGCGAGGAGCACTTCTCGTCAATAACCTCCTGGCCTCGCTGCAAGCTGCCCACGCAAATCTGAAGCATGTCGCAACGGGAGTACCACATAGTCGTCCTAGGTTCTGGTAAGCTAGTTAGACACCGTCAGCAACTAGGTCACAACTGACGAGAGTGGCGCCTTAGGTGGAGTCGGGAAGAGCTGCCTAACAGGTAAGGTTACCGCCTCGAGTACTCGCCAACACCACAGCAGCGCTGACTTGTCCACAGCGCAATTCGTGCAGAATGTATGGATAGAGAGTTACGATCCTACCATTGAAGATTCATACCGAAAGGTGCTTGATGTTGACGTGAGTGTGCTTCGACCCTCCTGCACTACCCTGTTGCTGACCCGCTGAAGGGCCGTCATGTCATTCTGGAGATCCTGGACACTGCAGGCACCGAACAGTTCAGTGAGTATTTACAGCCGCCTATGCACACGCGACCCATGACTAACCATAAGTAGCTGCTATGAGGTAATACACCATTCGAGTCCCATGCCAGCTCACGACTTACACCCCCATAGGGAACTGTATATGAAAACCGGTCAAGGGTTCCTTCTCGTCTTCAGCATAACATCGGCATCGTCGTTCTGGGAACTGGCAGAGCTTCGGGAGCAAATACGACGAATAAAGGAAGATAGCAACGTTCCCATGGTCCTCATCGGCAACAAGTCAGATCTAGAAGAAGACCGAGCAGTGCCACGCCCACGCGCCTTTGCAATTTCCCGTGAGTGGAACATACCGTACTTTGAAACCAGTGCTCGGAGAAGAGCCAATGTGGATGAAGCCTTTGTCGACCTCTGCAGGCAAATCATCCGCAAAGATCAACAGGAACGGCAGCGCATGGCCCCACCCGATTCACCGAGACCTGGCCCAAGGTCGCGGACGCATACTGGAAGGCCTAAGCGCCGGGGACACCGACCGCATTGTACCATCCTTTAAGTTACGATACCCAACGACGGACGACTGCACGAGTGGCAGTGGGCTTGCTGGTACAGGCGCTGTCACAATTCCCTTCGCATCGCTCGTTCCAAGTTTCTCGGTTTAGACTTTTGGTACCATAGAGGTATTAGATCATCCGCTCACAGCGGCAATTAATCCCCTTTTTCATACGGTTGAATCCATGACGCTTGTGTGCCCGTATCTGCGATCGTCTTTGCATGTTTGCTGGTGGGTGTTGGATGTCTCGTACGCAGACGTAGCATGTGTCCACAACATGTAGTCAAGCAAGGCACGGGAAGAAGATCTGTCCTTACAGCTACCCCCACTTGGCGGATCTGCCAGGTCACTGGATCCGGGTGGAGACATCTCGATGAGGACTACGTATGACGTGTTGGCTGTCAGTACATGGCAACATGTCTGCTTCCAGGCCACAGTATGCAGCACCGCCAGCGGAGTAGACTCCTCGGGAACAAGCACCTTCCGGAACCGACCCCCTCGGATCTCAGCTGGCCCTGCATTCGTGCGGCTGCCGCCTATCCTCGGGCTGAAACAGGAGCGCGTGACAGCTTAAGTGTGGCTTCTTTGCGGCAAGCGTTTGCGTGCTTTGTTGGGCTGCTGTCTTGAAGCAAGCCGCGGTACACGATCTGACGTCACCGGCGGGGCAATAGAGGGGCATCATTCAGGCACGCAGCGAATGCCAGATGATTGTCCATTCGCCCATGACGCGATTTGCATGATAATCCACGATCGACAGCGGAATTTTCAAAAAGTGCCACTCTCTTGCGTGGGTTTGTGCATTGCATGTGATGGTTCGTGGCTGCGGGTACCCCATCGCGCTTGCGTGGTCTGGCCCTCCTTCCATGGGCCCTCCTGTGTGACGTCACTTACCACCGGAAACAGTGACGTATGTTTGTTTGCACTCTGTTGGAGCCTAGCGCTCAGCCCTCAGCCCCTCACTAGCCTCCCTCACCTACCCCTCTTGCTCTACATAAATACCCTCACCCGTCTCCCCTTTGCTTCCTCCATCACACAACAAGCCTTCATCACCTCATCTACACTACCACTTCTTCCAAACCAAACCCCTCAAACCCCAAACACTTCAAAATGTCTGCTCCCAACGCCAACACTCCCAACGAGGGCATCGTCGGCCAGGCCGTCAACTCTGTCAAGAACGCCGCCAACTACGTCGCCGAGACCGTCCAGGGCCAGTCCGCTGAGGCCAACAAGGAGGCCAACAAGCAGCAGGCTAAGGGCAACGTCCCTGGCCAGGACTCCATCACCGACCGTGCCTCCGGTGCCCTGAACGCTGCTTCCGACAAGATGAACCAGGAGAAGCACGAGGGCGCCGCTGAGGCCAACAAGCGCTCCATCTAAGTACTCAGTACTTGAGCACCGGTTCGACATTTCACTTCGGTATGTGGTCTACATCTGTCCTTCCTTGACACCTTTCTAACTATCACAAGGTTCAGAACGATACCACTATGGTTTGAGCGATGAGCACTGCGACTCTCGCCCGGTTCACGATAGCACCATGATTATGGATATGAGATACCAATAAAACCTTTAACTTTACAACCTCTTTGCCATGCCAATGTGTGATGATGATACAGGGAGACACCTTTGTGGACTTCTGCACCCAGCTGAAGCTCCAGTCCCTCGCCCCTCATCGCTGCTGCTGGGCTTCACGTACCTTTCGGCGATGTCTTTCCAAGAATGATTATCGCACTCTGACTTCGATCATGTTTATTCACCGCTCAGTCATTGGCCACACGATCACACGGTCGCCCTGTGACACATCATCGTTCCTTAGTCCATGAGGTGTGCTCGTGTGAAACCAGGAACTTGAAAAGGTCCTCAACACATATACAATGTATCTCATTTCGACCATCTCGCATTTCAAGCTGTCAAGCATATAAATAGTCCTACACTGCCATATCTGGGCGATCATGAGTCAAAGCATGGATACATAGCGTGGTAGAGTCATTTCATGAGATTGTTCAATGATATTACCAGTGACACTGCTAACAAAACAAACGCATTACTCAAGACAACGCTTCGCGAAAAACAAAGGGTATCGAATGATCAGGGAAATGAGAAAGCCAAGTATGAAAAGAGCTCGCAGAGACCTCGTCTGTGTCATCTCCAACAACTCTTTCCTCATTACTCGTGGACGCTGTGGAACATGCAGTGGTGGTGGGGTTCGTGTGATACGTGGGCGGGGGCGTGGGTGTAGATACATTTGGTAGTGGCGCAGAAATACAACGCTGGTTTCGAGAGAGATGGTGCTGGTGTTTGCAACAGGCAGTGCAAGGAATCGTGGGAAGAGGAAGAAAACTTCTGGAGCAATCCGTTGGAGGATGTGTTGACCGTACGAGCGACGGAGGACGGGTTTCATCGGATATAGCTAGACTGGGAGACTTGGTCGTACCGTCCACGCTGGAACAAGCTCTTGATGTTGACGATTGTGGCCCCTAAGCAACCGTCTTGGGCGCATGAAGCCAGGACGCATCGTCGCCGTGTCCGTTGTCGAATTCAAAGCTGATCCGGAACCTCTGCGGAAAGCACATCTTGTCAGCACACCTCTCATTCCCAGTCCCTCACGTGAAGGGTTGGACAGGAGTAGGGGCTTTAGACGTGCATAGCGCCACGGCCAGTATGCGTAGTCCTTGCCTTGAAGTGTTTCCAGAACATGATACCGCCAATGACCGCAGAAATAAACCAAAGCAGCATGTTGGTCAAAAGCACCCACACCCCGTTCTTCATCCTGGTGATACCCTTGTTCCCCTCTGGGTTCTCACCGATGAACATCTTGCCGAAGATGCCAAACGCAACGAGATAGCACAAGAAGACCAGGGCATCAACAGCAAAGAAGAACCACGCCTTGATGAGCGGTAGCATGGCGAGGAGGGAGCAGAGCGCGCCGAGTGTGCCGCACACAACAGCCCACACCCATTTCGAGTCGACGTATTTCCCTTGCTTGCGCGCGTTGTCCAGGTCCACGGCGTAGAGTCCGATGACAGTGAGGCCCATGACGAATTGGAAGAAGCGCAGGACAAGGCGGAGGATGGTTGTTGGGGTGAGGGACGCGCCGAGGGAGGTTCCTAGGGTGGCTTTCTCGCCCCGGAGAGTGCTACGCGAGAGGAATTTGAAGCCCATAGCTGCTAGAACACTGAGCATCTTGCGTTAGTTGGGCTCGAGGACTGGGTCTATATGTGTGTATGGATTGGTGTGAGACAGGTAGACAATGTCTTACCTATTGTAGATGCGATGCGCGACTTTGTAGAGTTTGTTGATTCAAACGTCGTGCGCAGATGTCTCTCTTCGATCTTTGGTGTTTCGCAGAGGATCTCGGTCGTTGGAGTAGTCGCAATGGATAGAGCGGGGAAGAAGAAATAGTTGTGAACCGCAGTGATTAAACAAGTCGTCTCTCGTACTGTGACCGAAACAACACCGCTGCGCTGTAACTTGGGCGTGCTAAACCTCGTTGACACACAAGGTTTCTTTTGGACCCTGGGAACTTCAGGGTCTTGACAATGTCACCGTTCCCTCTTCCTTCCAAGCGCGATGACGTCGGGGGTTGATCCTGGAGTGGGATGTGGCTTCCAGGGATTAATTAAATTTGTGCACGCGCTCTTTCGGTGCGAATTGGGAAGGATCGGCAAAGAGAAGGTGTGACAGCAAGGCTATTTGGAAGATATGCGATAAAAGGGGTATAGACGCTACTGGAACGATAGATAGGCAAGACGCGATATAATGGAAGTACGAAGGGACTGTCCCGCGACTGTCAAAGCCGGCGGTGATGAGAATGAGACGTGGGAAGAACAAGAAGCAACGCTGGAGACGCATAATTCGCCTCTCCATCGCCGCTCTTTTAACTCAGACCGTGAAGTGCTTCGTGGCATCGAAAGCGTCAACCCATGTGTTGGCGCCTGACCACACGTCCAGCGCGTTGTGAACGTGTGGTTCTGGTGACCCTGTTTGAGGCGCCGACGCTGACGTAGTGGAGCTTGAGTAGCGTTGCCCCCAGAGCAGGGATGTTTCACAATGTGATTCGCTGGCAATACTCCAGCATCTGCATCATGAAACTTGCCGTGAAGTCCGAGGTAACTTTGCTGTCGCAGGAAATGGCGTGCGACGAGAAACATTGGAGTGTGTTATAGGTTGACAGTTTCAGCGCCTGGAAGATATGTATTTCAAGACGTCTCTGTGGTGGCACAAGTACGGTATCTGTATGGAGAGTAATATTGTTCCATTCGCGGGGTATTAATCACCCACGGTTTGTTCTACGCTCACGTACAGTTATCCAGCATACCAAAGACATAAAAACGTCTAAGGACTGGAGTACTTGTAGCCATATTGCTCCTTAGCAGCCTTGATCTGCTCCATGAGCTTGTTCTCCTTCTCCGCAAACTCCTTGTCATCCTTCAACTTCTGCAAGTACGTGTCGTTTCCAAAGCCGCTCTTGCTCGGGATGTCCAAGCCGCGCTGTACTGCAGGTCGTGCCTGTATGCGCTCCAACCACTTCTTCACGTTGGGGAATGAATCGAGATCAATGCCGGAGAAGCGCAGCATGTGGGCCCATCCAAAGCTGGCAATGTCTGCGATGCTGAACTTGTTGCCTACGAGATAGTCGGTGTTGGCGAGGTGCGAGTCGAGGATGCCGACGAGACGTTCGGTCTCGCCTGTGTAACGCTGCATGGCGTAGGGAATGCGCTCCTTGGCGAAGCGGTTGAAATGGTTGGCCTGGCCCTGCATAGGACCAAGGCCGCCGTGTTGCCATGCCATCCATTGTTCTGCGCGCGAGACGTCGAGAGGGTCGCTGAAGCTAAACTTGTGTTCGGGGTCGTAGTGGCGCGTGAGGTACGTGAGGATTGAGAGACCTTCTTGGACAGCGAAGCCGCCCTGGTCGTGGTCGACGATTACACTTTTTGTTCGCATTCAAGGTCAGCACGCGTCTCACGAGAAGTTCGTAGGGTAGCATTGCTTACGGGATGCGTCCATTGGGACCAAGCTTGGTGAACCAAGGCTCCTTTTGTGTGTTCTTTGAGATGTTGATGCTCTGCCATGTGTAGTCCTTTCCGTAGGCTTCCTTGAGCTCCTCCAGCAGAATGCTAGCCTTCCATCCATTGGGCGTGCCGAAGGTGAGCAGCTCGATGCCCTTGTCCGCCTTCAGTCCGGTGGGTTCGCCGTCAGCCATTTCGGGAAGTATGCGAAGTAGCGGTTGTGAGCTGTGGAAGTGCGATCGGAGAGGTTTGCGCGTTTGGACGGGGAGACGTGTGAATTGTCGGAGTTGTGAGGAGATGGAGGGTCGTAGTAATGACATGGAGAGGGGTAGCTTCAGCGCGATATGGAGGGGTTATATGCGGCCCAATGCATGTGGAGAGCTATTTCTTCGGACTTCCCAAGTGCCCTTGCTTAGGAATCATCCATGACGTCGTCCTCGTAATACTGACATTGCGCACGCGAACGCATTGACATGATTGGTAAGTGGTAAGATCTTCAAGTTCAACGGACGAGTATCAACGGGCGCAAAGCCCACGGGTCGCGTTCTGTGCTCAAGTTCGCGACGCGCTGTACCTGGTCAGCATGCTGAGGACTTGCGTGACTAAGCAGCTTCGTAAGATCCTAGGCCCAACCCGACATTGAACGTTCCGAACCGAGATGATTTAAACAAGGTGCTTTTAGCTTCCTGATTGCAAAACTGGCATATTGCACTTGAGAAAATCTGTGCGTTACGAAAAGTCCAAGAAAATTCTGCATGGGATCTACGCATGCATCGGTGGAATACTCATGAAACTGGTAATAGGCAATTCTTTAAGGCTTCTCTGTCGAGTTACAAACTACATCATAACTCGACGGGGAACCATTAAAGAATTGCCTATTATCAATTTCACGAGTATTCCACCGACACAGAAACGCATTAATGATCTAGATATCATGGTGTCTATATCGTGATATACAAGCCTTATCCAACTCTCCTACAATACATCCTCCTACCTGCTACCATAACATGCATGCATTAGCTAAACTGTCGAAAAACAAGATGTAGCCCCTCAACGGATGCTTAGTTGACCTTGTATTCACTTCCACCTCCACACCAGCACCGTCCCTCGCCCTCTTTCTCGACATGTATTACTACGTCCATACCTCGGTCCTTCAGGAACTGGTGCGAGCGCTCACGCACATCTTCTGGGTCTGCCATGCGGTTGGCAATAATGTGGATGACGCCGAGGATGCGACGTTGCTTGGGTGTATGGCTGTGATCGTGATCGTGGTCGTGGTGATCATGCGAGTGTGAATGCGCATGTCCGTGATCATGGCTGTGATCGTGAGAGTGTGCGTGGTCGTGAGAATGCGAGTGAGAGTGGCCGTCA